TCGTAGAGCGACATAAAGTAACGTTTAACTATTAGATTTTATAAGCGCAGTCGCACACGCAGACTGAACGTTCTATTTTTTGCTTCGACGCCCGATCACGGAATTAACGGAATATATAGCGATTCGTGGAATAATCATACATAAAATCGACAATAATCGCGCCACATGAATGCCATGTATTACGGTCACGTGTCGAGAACCTTCCTTATAGCCATGCGAAGAAATTGTCACGTTAGGATCTATTGACCATAATCCGTCTCATGCGTCATCTTGAGGAATGTGTACCGCCATCTCCCTTAATTTCGACGAGATATCCGCTCGTGGGAATATTTACACGCACGTACGGAAAACCTCAGGGTCGTTCGCTCACCCCGGTCTCGGTATCGACTCAGGATGAGGGTTCCTTAAATCGGCGGCTTTGTCAAAGTTATAGCGCTTAAATTCGCGGACATGAGGATCGACCCCGGCTCGCTTATGCGTGTCCGCATTCCCCGGCGTGTGTTACGCGCGGAAAGGACTCGAAATGTACGCCGGGAATAACATTCTTCGATCCCATTCGCACGATACACGCGCACATACCGGTTTCGCGCGGACGCGAGATGCAATAAAATCGCGACGCAAATATCAACCGGAAGTATCCGCAGCTTTCCGAGCGCCGCGGCGTATTAAATGCAGTTATCAAGTGCAAATGCAATTCCGCGCGTATCCACGTGTGTATGTGCACGTGTGTGTCATGAGAACGTACTACCATCTCTGTAGAAAAGACACGAGAGTGATCGCGTGCGTAATTTACAATTTTCCAACATATCTCCGAGACGGCACGTAGTAGTGCGTTCCTCGTAATCGTGGATCATCAGTGGCAAACGAGCCTTCCGATCGCGAGAAATTTCAAGTGCCATTCCCGAAGGCTTAGGCACGTCGTCGTCGCGTTTGTCGCGAATCCGTAGCGCAAATTTTCAGCACGACTTGCCGGAGTCATCTGGCGCGCACGATAGGATTACGAGATTAAGGATTTCCTCGTTGAGAGCCGTTAATAATAATAATCGCCGTCACTTCCGGCAACGACGCGACGCGCGAGCGCCTTCGAAATCGCCTCGGCTACGGTTAATACCGCTTACCGTTTTCGCGAAACTGTCTGCGCGACGTCGAAAGAAATCGTAGACGCTTAAGCGAGCACCTACGCGGCCTCGTCCCATAAATTCCAGTTCCAAGGATGCGCGAACGCGGCCGACGAGGGTCGTTCGAAGAATAATAGTTGACACGAATAGTCGGTACTATGCGCGTATGCCGTGTGCGCTCGCTGCGAAGGCATTATTATGCAACTGGAATTACGTCATTCTTAGCGCGTTTCTTGCTCGCATGGATCGTCGAAACTGCGCGAGCGAGTACGAAGGAAAGAAACGTGCACCAAACATCGGCGACGCCGGCCGTCGTTATTATTAACCTTGGTCTGCGGTGTGCAGATAATGGCAGCAGGAGGCACACGAGGAAACTCGCGCCACAGGAAAACACGTGTGACAAAAGCCTCGTCGGACAGTTTCAGCGAAACGTTTCCTTTGTAATCGCGACAAGGCATACGAGAGTCTTTGGAAAAATGATCTACCGCCGCATACCCACTCTCGAATATTTATTTTCGCGCTTCGCAGTCACAAATACGACGAGGCGATGTTTATCTGCCGCCGGCTCTAGCCAAGATAGAGTATCCAATTATTTAACGCACATTAATTAGAGTGGAATTAGCTGATGAAAAATACACGATGTTAATTTCGCGATTGACGGGATATTACGCTCAAATTATTAATGAGGATATTTATGATAAAATTGGATTACGTTAAGGGAAAACAATTTTTCTCCACGCAGACCCGCGATATTCCGCGGATTGGATTATCATATCGCTTTATTCCCGGCTAAAACTCGGATCAGTGGAGGGTTGAAATTCGTCGTTCCATCCTGCTAAATTATTTACGTATGCTCGCAACATTTCATGCTAGAAATGCAATACGGTTTACAAACATCGATCAGCGTAATATAGCGTTCTAAACTGAATAATTGAATTAATATGTTAATGGCCGGATGCCCCGGCCGGCCGGTCGGTCGTTTTATCGGAATACGCGGGCGTGAGAGAAGCAGGGAGAAGGAAAGAGAGAGAGAGAGAGCCGTTTCGCGTCCAACAAACATCCCGCCGACTCGTTCCGCGGCGAAAATCGACGTACTGGTGTATTCCGCTACAAGAAAGCTTTCGGGGGTTGGGCTTGGGTCCAACTACGGCTGCCATGTTTATGGTGCTGGGCGTCTTAACCCACTGAGCGGCGAATATATCCGGGAAACGAAGCCGAAGTTGAGAGGTTACGCGAGGTCAGGTTCCAACGCAGTGCTATACATTCCGCTCGCAATTCGATGGAACAGATAATATCTGCAGTACTCGCGAGCGATACGATCATTCTAACGTGAATGTTCGAAAAAGAGGCTCCCTTTCCGATTCACTCCTTTCGGCCGGCGGTGATTACAAATTCGAATAAAACGTAGATACAGCGCGAGTATTGCGCGCGATCGGCGGCGTATCTTTCAGTGTTGATTAAATTAGATCGAGGAGCGCGAGAGCGTGGCTGAGAATTTTCAAAATTGCAAGCTCCAAGAATCGCCGATCCAGCCCGATGCTATCGAATTCCGAGCCATTCTTCAATACGATTGAAACTCTCTCGACCATGCTACGTACAACGACGCGTGCGCGCTTTGTGTATCGCGCGAGCGAAACGCCGAGCGTGCAAACAGAGAACGATTCCGACTGCACACACATACGAGAGACGATTAAAAAAATATTTTCTGAATCGCGCGCAACCAGCCTCCGACGAGCGGCGATACGCTACGCTCGACGGCGATAGCTCGAACGGAAACGAGGTAGAGGCCCGATAAGCGCGGTCAGTCTTCTAATTCCCATTCGCCATAAATGCCGCTTACGTATCTAATCTGGCATTCTCGGTGTGGTCGTACGAGAGCGTCTACAGAAAGCCTTTAACGAACGCGCAGAATCCATGAATCATGTACGGCGACACAAGGCGTTCGTCTTTCTCTCTCTCTCTCTCTCTGCTTCGAGTTGACTCACGAGCGATTATTCATTTGCAAATAATTCTCCGCGCGTCCGTGTACTCCGCGCCTGTGCGTTCCTCGTGTTCAATTCGCTGAACGAGCACCGTTTCTCTCGGTTAAATCGTAATTGCGAACGTAAACCAGAAGACGGGTTTAGAAGACCACTACTCTCGAAAGATAATAATTTCAAATTTTCGTTTTGCCCACACGTTATCATAAAATAAAAGTGACGACAATTATAGTGAAAAAGTTGCAAATAGCGTATAACGGAAAATAGGTAGATAGAATACAAGTGTTACGCGCTCTCTCGTATCGATGAACGATTCGGCTCATTTTCACAGAGTCCGGTTTGAAGTTATATTAAAGTTTCATGGTTCACCGAATATTTCGTCGACTGCACGCGATAAAAATAACCTCGGCTGTGTGCTCGTGTGATGTATCGTACAGAGAAAAAATTTTACCATTAGAGAGATTCGAGGATCAGAGAAGTATAAAAATATCTAACATAACCTGACCTAATTGAAATACATGACCGTGAAGTAAAATCGTTTACCGTTTTGCGAAGTCACTATTCCGCGGATTGTCCTTTAAATTATTCCTTCGTCTTAGAGTTCGCAAAATTTCCCCGCCAGATTTATCCGCGGTGTATAATGCACCAGTTGCAAACCGCGCGCGCGAGGCTAAAATCAGATTCCTGAATGGTGGTCGATCGTGGCTACGCCGTGAAAGTAAGACAGACGCGTAAGTTATAGGCGACCTTTATTCCATTGTCGCTTGAATGGGAATCCGCGAGGCGCGCATTGTCTACACGCGTGATTCGAATGGAACGTAATATTGGTTCGCACAACGACGGCGATTATAATGCCGTAATTGAAATAATGTCTGACCTCTGCAATTATTGCGCGATCGAAGTGATAATTACGAAAGATTTGACGTCGTCGAATAGCCTCATAAAGAAGAAACGTGCAAAAAAACATAGAAACATAGAAACGTGCAAAGAAAAACATTTTATGTAACGTTATTTAAATTAATCAACCTTTAATACGATCTTAATCGATGTTGTGAGTCAAAAGTCGTGACGAGAAATTATCATTTCTAAAATTCTATCACTGACGTAAATATATTATTATTGTTAAATTATAGTTTCTTGCACATGAAAGCTTGATTAAAATTATTTTATAATATATACGGAATATATAAAGGAAAATTCACCCACAGTATATCTCTATGCGCGCGGAAGCATAATACATTTTTTAAAATAAAATTAATCGAAACCTTTCCATGAAAAAAAAAAGAGTTTTTGCAGATTTATTTTATAAAAATCGTTTCATTTATTTAACGTCACAAATTAATGATTCGTTACTATTTATTCATTTAACTTGGAAATTATATATTTATTGTATCTCATCAATAACGGAGTCGTAATATTAGTTGAAGCTGGCATATCATACAAATAAATCGCGTTTGTGTACGCGTAGCTTTCAAGTGCAAGAGATTCAATTAATCAAGATGGTCGAAGTGAAATGAAATTTACCTGTTACAAGTCGATCGATACGCCTTTCGGCGATACAATCCGCGCGAGTTATCAGTTCGGACTCTCCTCAAGACGCTCGGTGCGTTCTATACCGATTGTTAAGTCGCACAACGCGCTACTGTTTACATCGGTGAAAGCGGATCACAGGCACGAACGCGTTAAACAAAGCCCTTTTTCTCGGCCGCTCTCGCGCCATGTCGTCGTTCCGATTTTCCGTGACGCGAGCCGGCGTCGCGACGCCACCGAGCGGTGCTGCCACGACGTCGCGCGGCCGCCGGTAGCGGTACAGCGGTGGCGCGCTCGGCTCTCGTCGGTCGTGTTCGGGCCTTCTCGCGCGCAGTTACGGCGAGGCAACGTCAGTCACTCTTCGGCACTCGCGCGGAAGAGTCTGTACACATTTAGTGGTTGGGGAGATCGCCGGTCCCTTGCGGAGTGTCAAATATCTCGTTCGGTGTTATCTCGACGGGTCTGATACCTGGTGACGTGCAATCAGTCCGGGCGATCGTGTCAATCGCGATCGTCGTAGTGGCACGGCGTAGCGAACCGGCGTCGGTCTAGACGCGAGAGAAAAGCCGGTACGGGAGCAGTGACGGAGAAAGCGTTTCGATATATAGGGAAATCGAGGGAATCGGAGAAAACGAGAAAGAGGAGGAGAGACGTTCGCGTGTGTGTTGTCGTCGGCGACGAATGCACGGGTTTTCGTCGGGAGTTGAAGTGAAGGGGGACATCGGTTGCGACGGATACGCGCACGGATCTCCGGAAGAGATAGAAATAGAGAATCGAATTTAAAGAGGCGAGGAGTCTCGTAGGGGGAGCGTGGTAGTAATACGACGAAAGGAAAGGACGACGACGCGGAGAGGCGTAGTAATACGAATGAACCGCGCAGACGACGCTACGCGACTCGAGCCGGCATTTTGACGTTGCGTCTCCCCGCCCCCCCTCCGCCGTGTGATGGATACTGTCGCGAGCAAGCCGTGCACGCGACGCCAGCAGACAGAACGTCGAGCCGCACGAGTGACGTCGTCGCAGTGAGTTTGCTCCAGCCGCGTGTTTCACCGGTGACAGTAGCAGAGCGGTAGCCGGGACATTAACAGCAGCACCGGCAACGAAAGCGATAGCTCACCCTCGCTCCTCGTAAGGGAGCGAGAGAGAGCGAGCTTTTCGACGCGTAGTGCGCGCGCGTTCGCGGAAGCCGGAACGAACCGGGAACGGACTGCTCCGGGAAGTGTGCGGCTGTATCGCACCAACCGGGCCCTTTAATCGTTCCTCCCCGTGCGTTATCGCCGCGTTTTCTCGCCGAGGAGGGGGAGCGAGCCTCTCTCTCTCTCCGATGATACGCACGTGCGCTCGCCGCTACCTGCTACGTTCACGTACGTGCGTACGCACGAGTAGTAATCGTCGCGAGTTGTACGCGCGAGCGCGTCCACGTTCGCCGCGCGTTCAGTGAATCCGTTTGTTTTGTCGCGTTGTTTCGTCCCGTAAAACGTACAAGAGTGAGTGGCGCCCGGTCGGTCGATCTTCGCCGGCGCGACCGCCGCGTTGATACGCGACATTATAGCGTGAGAGTGCCGGAGCCGGAGGGCCGTCGCGAGGGACTTAGCCGCGCGTAGCCATGGATATCCTGCCGAGCGGTAATATATTTCGGGAGCTGCAGGACATACACGACACCGGATACTTCTCGGCTCAACCATCGCTCGAGGATCATTGGCAACAGGTAAGGCATGTTGCGTTCGAACGCGCGCTCCGATCGATCCAACTCCCCGTGCGCTGCGACTTTCTTCTTCAGCTATCGAGGGATGTCGTAATGTCGAGATACGGAGGATACGGTAATGTGAACGACATTAACGGTCTTTAGCTTAATTGCTTTCTTATTCATAATTAAGAGCCGGCATTTAAAGTATTCGTGTGATGCGATACTACATTGTATCATCGCGCTGGTATAATACTGTACAGATATCTAGCGCGGCGGATAAGTGACGTGGCTTCGCCGTTCGATCATCGTTTATTTCCATTTCCTGTCTCTTCGAAGGAAAAGAACACAAGCTAATGCGTAGAATCGCACGTTCACTGTCCGTCATTCATTCACTACACCCGCATTAGGCGTATCAGCCGTCGCGGCGCCGCGCCAGTTAAATTCGTTGGGAGTACGTAGTGGTTAGTGACCTTTGACCTTCTCGTCGCGGCCGGTGTCAAGCGCTGCTGCGTGAAGGAACACATCTCCGCACGTGAAACAGAGATTGTTGCGCCTCGAATGTGCCAACTCGTGATATGCTCTGTGTCGCGACGCGGACTATACATGACGAGCATGGCGACCTTTGATCTTTACGTTTTCCCCGAGAGTGACTTTCGTCAAAAAATGCGAAAACGTCGAGTGAGAAATTGCGGTAACGCACGCAGACGGAAGTGATTGTCGAGTCTATAAGGGGAGAGGGGAGGCGGCTTAACGACGCGATAAATTTCGTATTACGTCGGGTGCATCAGGATTTTTTTGTAATAATAAAACAGGAAGTTGTACGACGCGGTTTGTAAATGTTACGTCGATCGTAAGACGTGGCGTCAGACGAATTCTAGGTAATCGGGTCTTTTTGCGGGAATATAATTATCGAGATTATTAATAAAACTTGATCATGCTTTATTTGCGAATCGAACTGGCACTGCGTTCGAATTGAAGACTTTAGTTATGTTACTTCTTAAAAGATTGAATTTTGTGAACGTTTAAAGCGGAGTTAAAGTTTAAAGTCGTCATTTTCCATTTCGACCTGTGCTCGAGTCAAAAACAATGTTTTATGAACATACATACGGAGAAATACTTTTAATTCGATTTAAAGACCCGTTTAGTCGTGCTTGTCTGTCTGTGTGCTTATTTATTTCGAAGTTACAACGCGCATACGAAATATCGGCGATTAGTTGCTATCGGTTAGTTTACTATCGGTTTACTAGTATTGAGCTTGAAATCGGATACTGAATAGCAACCGTTTGTATATCTACTCATGTAATCGAATCAACAAATATATGGATAATAGTTCAGCGCTACGTCAATACCGCGATTCTCCGCTTTTAGGAGTCTATCGCCGAACAGAGCTGTTCATCGATTTCGCAAACACATCGCAGAATCGACGTTTTTCTCGAATAAATTATTTTCGTTGAAAAACGCGCGCTCGATAGAGCTCGTGACGTTCCTATTTCTCATTCGCATACTTAATTCGTCATTTAATTATATTTTGATACCCGTCGAACTTGACATGCCAACACATCGCCGTTTATAGCTTTGACCGTATTAATCTGAAACGACGGACTCTGGAATTGATCTCATCGAAAATGTCGAGGTGATTCACGGTTTACTTCAACTCCTCAATTATCCGCGATACATTTCGTCGTGATTGAATTCCAAATTGAACCTCCTTTGAAATAAGATCCACTTGACATTAATCGAGAAATTAAGATCTTGTGATCTTTCGTCGCCCTTGAAGTTGCAAAAAGAAAAAAAAAAAATTCCTCAATACCGTAGACGCTTCGTCATTTTCGCCGAATGCGCGAGATAAAACGCAAAAGGGAGAAAGATTTGCCGTTATAAAATACAACGCAACGATATAACGCTCGACGTTGCGTGCGACCAGGCGTCGGGAGTCCGCGAAATTCGCGGAGTGATCGATCGCAAGGCGCGCGCACACCGTGTTTCCGGGAATTTAAAAGGCAGCCGGGCGTCAAAATCGCACGTACGGGAGCCACGGACGGGGCGACCTTGAGCCGCGGCATTAGATCGGTGTGTACGTTCAGTGACGCGGCCGCTATAGACGCCGCGCCGCGTCCTGTTTGTTTACGAGTGTGCAATGACCTTTCTCCGGTGCGAGCGGCCAGTGTAAGAGGGACGGCACTCGTTTCCCATTCAATATCTGAGGCAGTAGAGTAGTGCATTTTTTCTCACCGCATAGCACCGGCGCACAGTAACGCGACGCTTTTTTTCGGCCGCCGAGAAAAATACGACCGACGTCGTGATCCGTTTAACACTTTTTATTTGGCAATGTTGCCCTCGAGCGGCATCGATTTGTACCGCTTACACAGAGTGACGCTACCGCCTCGATGGCGCTCCGACTTTCTTTCGTCTAATTTTGCGACCAATTTGGCCGGACGAACTTCGCGACGCCTGCCGTTTAAGTTAGGCTTGTAATTAGTCCTCAAATTGAGATACTATCGCAAAACGGCTCGTTTAAAATTAACAGAGGTGTGAAACTTTGTTTATTCAGACTCTCACAAGTTTATGCGACGAAACGACTTTATTTTTACGTTACCTTTAACGTCACCGATGTTCCTCAAATTAGTGACGAAATAAAAATCGGTGACAACATTGACAACATTGAAATCAATTCACGCGCAATTCAGCGTCGATCGTCGTTGGACGCGTAATTTATCGCGATCGTAAAGTTGTCATCCAGAGTGGTGATTGATTTGCAGTTAGTGAAATTTTAAAAATATTTCCTGCCGAAACTTTGTTGTTTGCACACATATACATTTATATATTATCATTAAATAACAAGTTTTGTGCAAAAATATTTTCCGCCATAAATCCGGTTTCAAATGTTTCTCCAACTACACAATTTCACCGCTGCGGGGAAAGTATAGAATAATAAAATTGTAATATTGACCGAAGAGCAGGCTACATGCAAAATCGAACGATAAATTTGTCCGTGGCCGGTGAAACGCCGAAGAAAAAGGTGAAATATTGATAAACATCTCCTTCGCGTGTATCCAGCGTAATTTGCATACTGCAACGAATCGTGGCTCTCCCGATCACGAACGAGTTTAGGGGACGTTTATTGCAAGAAAATTTTGATCGATCGCTTGGCACTCGTACGTTCGGACTCGGTCGCGATTGGCGAGTTGCCTAATTGAATGTCTCGAAGCTTTTCCAGCGGAAAACCGCTGGTGCGCGAGGCGTTTTCCCCTTGTTTGTCGTTAATTACTCGCACAATCGTTCGACCGTGCCGCGCTTATCGTCGCCGGTCGCGAGCTTCTGCATGCGAACGATAAAAGGAAAAAAAAAAGGAGAAAAAGTAATAATAACACAATACGCGACGCAGTGCGTGTCGGTGAAGTGATATTTCGCGCAACCGCGCGATCTCATGCGAGGCATATGGCGTCGACGCACGTGTCGACCGTGTCCGATAATGCCATTTGACAGGTGCTTCGTCGCGCGTTTTTTGTATTTCGAACTTTACACGCTCTCGTCCGTCAAACTGTTTCGGCATCAGTTATACCTGCACTCGCGACAAAATCGGATCCGCGCGTGTATACTAGCTATATACTGTATCTGTCTGCGTCCTATAAAGTGCGATTCCCAGCGACTTCGCTTCTGTATTTTCTGGAGCACACTCGCTCGAACGAGTGTGTCCCTGTTGTGAGATCAGTATTCGCGTGCATTATAAAACTGCAGAAGAATGGTGGTGCGACGGGAATTATTTATATCATGTGCATTTTTTACAATTTTTTCTCTCTCAGATGCTATGACAGATTTAAGGCGATTAATACCGAATAATATTTTCGGACGATTATTGTTCGAAACATTTAGATATTTATCATCAGTTCAACTTTTAACGTCTTTTTCTTTACGTTCAGTGACGAAACTTTTCACGTTTACATCAATATCTTTCGCCTGCGTCGTGCGTGTATATGTGTACGTTTACTTTCCCAGGGGCTCACCATAAAACCACCATAAATGTCTCTTAATTCTAACACATAAATCCTTAATTGAGTTTTATCGGGCTCTTCACTCGGTCGCGATACGAGACCGTCTCTTCGTGGGCGAACCCTTTTTTCTGTTTTTGTTTGCTGAATATCGATTTGTCACTGTAAAAAGGCCCGTAATTGCACGCGATTGTTTTAAATACGAGTTGCACGCAGAAATGCAGCTCGTATCGAATTTAACATCGCGGAAGTTATTACTCAGCCTGAGAGACAGTTCTGTGGCTGCGGAAGATACGCCAACGCGCGTTTCCCCCGTCGCTGCTGATAGCGCGGATTCCCCGCGCGGCGAGGACATTTATTCGTAGTAATTGCCGGAATCTCTACCCCGTGCGTTTTATGGATTTCTTTTTTTTTCATTTTTTGCGCCTTTTACAAACCGACTCGAAATTAGAAAATTAAAAACTCAATTTCCCAAAGAACCTATTTCATCGCATTTATTATTCGTGTTTTTCCTTTTTGTACAAAATGACGTTTAAACATTTTTCAGGAGGAAGCATATTTTGCTTGAAAATACTTATGGGATTAATACAGAGAGAGAGAGAGAGAGAGAGAGAGAGAAATCTCAATGTCCTTATCGGATACTAGTTATTAAATTATGAAACAAGCGCAATTTTTGTCACGCCGAATCGACGATGTTACAGGCTTCTAATAAAGCGTTCGTACAGATGACAGTATCGCGAGGGTCACGCCGAGAAGCGAAGGTTGTCGATATACATCGAAATTCAATATTTATATCGTAATAGCGTTCGTGCCCGGTCCAGTGCTCGATACGACTCTGTCATAGACAGATATTCCGCGAATTAAAATTTCCTCCTTTTCGAGACACACGCTATTTGCAATATCCCAGATTGGATTCCGGCGCCACTCGGCAAGTCGCGCCCGATTGTTTTTCACGATTTGCGATTTACCGAGCCAAAAGCGTGTCTATCGCACATCAGCAAATGTGCGCGCGCTCGCTTCACCTTCGTCCCA